AGATAGAGAGAGAGATGGACAGATAGATAGATAGATAGATAGATAGATAGATAGATAGATAGATAGATAGATAGAGAGAGAGAGAGAGAGAGAGAGAGAGAGAGAGGAACATTGACAATGTTGGATTGTGTACGTTGTAGACATATGTTGAGGTTTTATTCAATACAAATAAATAAATAGATGAAGGTGTGCGAGACTACGGGTAGATTTGGTAGCTTGCCTCGTCTTTCTCTCATCAAGCGAGACGCCAAAGTGCTAAGTCAAACTATTCAGCCCAGATTAGGGCATACTCACACGAGCACTTTCCTAACTGTATCTGACTGTAATTACGGCCAGACCTGTATGCATCTGGCCGCAATGATGGCCACAGCGCGGTCCAAAAAGTCCTAGTCTGAGCATGGCCTTAGACATTGAAGCGAATGAAGTCTGACTAATAAAGTAAAATAAAATAAGAAAATTGAAAAATGAGGTCTGACACGGGCACGCCAACAGGTGAGCCTACTACGCAAGCGTATTGGATGCCAAATGCGGCCAGATTCAGTGGAAAAACTCGACACTGCGTGTGAGTTCCAAGCTTCCTCTTCTTCTCCCTCCTGCGGCCAGATTCAGTGGAAAAACTCGACACTGCGTGTGAGTTCCAAGCTTCCTCTTCTTCTCCCTCCTGCTGTGTCTTCTGTGCTTGGTTGACATCACCATTTCCTTTGCATACATTCGTTTACACTCGAAGGGCAATATCACGATCAGAATCTCGGGATGGTCGTTTACACTCGAAAGGCAATTTCACGACCAGAAATCTCGGGATGGTGGTCTGTATTTGGTGTGAACATGGCAGAGCATCTTCTCAGGTAGGTAGGTTTTTTGCTGGTTGATCATTGATGCTTAAAGAATGACAATGCACATCTGTAGACCACCCATCAGTTCAACACATAGCAAGTTCACCCTCTCCGGATGTGGACTGAAAGGGAGAGGCAATCGCCCTGGACTGAAAGGGAGACGTGTGAAAGGTTCACTTGTGTGAAGAGTCTATCGGAGGCATTCAGCGTCAGTGCTTTTGCATCTGTGTTGCTTTCTGACTCTCATTTTGAATTCTCAACCCCAAATTTGATGTGCTCATGTCGACTGGCTATTTTCACCCTCCTCTCCCCTGCCCCCCTTACACTACTGCTGCTGCTGCTGCTGCTAGTGCTTGTGTTCCCCCGAATAGAACGTACGGTCATTGTAGCCGTGTTTGGCTCACATTTTAGTCCAGTTGCAGCGAAAGTGATCGCACGTTCTATTTGGGGGAAGAAGGTAGTACTACGGGTAGTAGTACAGTACAATTACTGTCTTTATCCCGTTTTCAACCAAATAGATCCTGTGGACCTGCGGTCAATTTTGCTGCATCTGAGTTTGCCCCAAATACAGCTATAATGACCCAGTTCTATTTGGGCGAAGACAGTGCCTTCTTGTTTTTTTCTCTTTTTCTTTTTACACGGGTCATGAGTTGTGTGTTGTGTGTGCGTCGCCATGTTCGCTTGGATCACATTCGATTCTTTCTGCCTTACCCGTCAACGAAGTGCTATGTTGAAAGTCAATTCTTTGCTGCAATCATTTGCATGGGAGCCTCTATGGAAAGGGTGATACGACCTTGTGGAATTTCGTCCGGCAGACACCTTTTGAGACTAAATTGTTTGAGTGGTTTTCCTTTCCAAGAACTGTTTTTTTTATACAGCTTTTCTCCTTTTCCATCTTTGTGTTTCTTTGCTTGGCTTTCCTGGACGGCTTTCATGTCCACCAAAAAAAAAGCATGACTGTGCCAGACTGTTTTCTCGGACCGACACGCGCGCGCGTGTGTGTGTGTGTGTGTGCGTGTGTGCGTGTCACAGACACACACACACACACACACACACACAGAGAGAGAGAGAGAGAGAGAGAGAGAGAGAGAGAGAGAGAGAGAGAGAGAGAGAGAGAGAGAG